TCTCTCTCTCTCTCTCTCTCTCTCTCTCTCTCTCTCTCTCTCTCTCTCTCTCTCTCTCTCTCTCTCGTTCCCTCCCTACCCGCGCTTTTTTCCCTTTCTTCCTTCTCCATTGCCTCCCTTCCACCTGTCCGATTCCATATTTCAACTTGTTCCCTCCATCCCGATCTTCCCCCTCACCAATCCACTTTTCCCCTTCCTCTTCTCTCCTTTTCCTGTCTGTCGCCCCTCTCTTACCGTCTTTCTCCACGCCACTCTCTCCTCCGAGGATCCTGCTCATCCAATACTCCGTGTTGCCCATGCGGATCTGGTAGATCCTTTCCTCGTTTCCTCTTTCTGTCGCTCTCTCTCCATCATCTGCACATCTACATTTACCCTCCCCTCTCGTACTTCAGGCCTTTCGTCATTAACCTGCTCTCTCCTTCCTGACCTGTGTCCCTCCCTCCGCGCTGAGCCCCTCTTCCTTCCTTGCAATCTCTTCTGCCCCACCTTGTCCGCATCCCCCTACACGACCTGCATTCCTTACCCTCTTGCCTTGGCGTTCTTTCCCCTGCACTTCGTCGGTTGCTTCATGGGTTCCTACATCGCTCTGATCGGCTCTGATTGGCTCGCAATGCGACCTTCTCCTCCTCTCGATCTCACATCCTGATAGCCCCCCTCCCAATCCCCTCTTCCACAAATTGGGTTCCCGACCAACATCCTCCTCCCATTTACTTTAGGACCGTCCTCGACGTCGTCCTTCTCCACAACCTCCTTGACTCCGACGAACTTAGCCTGCGTGATTCACCCTGTCCCGTTGACTCTCCTCCTCCTTCCCCTGTCATCGCATCCCATCCTGACCGACCAAATCCCGACCCTCTCGTCCTCTTGACCCCGCTCCCCTTCGTCCTTCTGCTACTCCAGCCCCTCAAGATTTCGACGGCGACCTTCTCGTCCCTGCCGGACCAGACTCTTGACCTCCCCCTACCCCCGCCTACTTCTTTCGAGAGCGGCCGCCGGACGTGCAACATAGCACTCCCACAAAGAATGGAGTTGCGGCCCTAAACGAATGGACGGATGGTTGGAGATAGGTGGGAAGAAGGAATGTAAGGAGGGAGAAAGGGAGGGAGGGAGGGAGGGAGGG